ATATGTATGTATACATATAAAATAAAAACAAAAGAGAAAAAATATCAGTTTGTCTTAAATCTAATGAAAATATTTTACTTTCTTGACAGGAAACTTTAACAGGCTTCAAATGGATGGGTAACAAAGCTATTGAGTTGATAAAAAAAAATAAAGATATCTTATTTGCATATGAAGAAGCTATAGGTTTTATGTGTGGCTCTAAAGTCCTAGATAAAGATGGTATCAGTGCTGGTGTACGTGTGGCTGAATTAGCGGCTTATCTTGAAACAATAGATTTAACCTTACTAGACAAATTGCAGGAAATATATCAAGAGTATGTTAGATTTTAAAGCCTGAAATGTTTTATAATATACTATAAAATAAATTATAATTCTGATATATATGTATATATATATATAGGTATGGTCATCATATCAGTGACAATTCCTATTGGATATGTCACGACTCGGACGTTATTAAGGCGATATTTGAACGACTGAGGAATTATTCTAACAAGCCAGATACAGTGAGTATTATTTCAATTTTAAAAAGGTTTTTTTTATTTAAATGTTTAGAAAAACAGAGTACTATAATTTGTGCTAATTTATCTACATTACTTTTATCTTAATTTATATGAAAAAGAATGATACATATTTATAAGAATAAACTTTTGTTACACAATCACAAAATATAATGAATAATCTTTTATTGTGTGTATGTGTGTATATATATATATATATATATCCGCGACGACGACTATCGACAGATGCTTTGAATCGGCCGCTGCCTGGCTGGAAAGCGCCGCGACATAATAAGCCTATTGTAAGGAGTTCGATCCACGCGCCGCGCGGACAATCCTTTTCCTCCTCGTCTGCTCGGCGCCGTGCCATGCGGGAAATCGATCATGTTCGAGAGACAAGCGACCACGACCGCGAGAAGAATGCTCGACCATAGTTTAAATCGATTTTCGCGATAAGAAAAGGACTCGCGAGATCGCGATCATCGTTATTTCGTTGACGAGAAGAGATTCGGAGAAAAATAAAGCGTTCTTCCGACGTGGAAGAACCTCACAAGATTCTCTGTCGTCTGGATCGTATTGCGGTAAATACGTTACGATATTGGCCGGCAGTGTCGTCGAATCGGTCGACGGAAAGAAACATAGAGGAAGATAAAGAAAAGACAATGAGGAGGATCGAGAGCAGGTATGCGCGAACGAGCCGGGATAAAGCGAGGAGGAAAGAACGCGGAGACGGGGAGCCCCCGCGCCGCGGCTATTTGTATATATCATTATATTATTGATAATTTATTTTATATTTGCAAAAATCATATTCATAATTACATTTAATTGAAAAATATAAATATTTTAATAAGGAAAAGAAATTGTATGTATATCTCACATGCATATATACAAAAAATTATAAAGTTAAATTTTCGATACCAGTTTTTTATATTTCATAATTTTTGTCATTATGACATAGTCAGCGCTGTTTGATATGCGGTTAAAGTATTCTAATTTACATCTAATGAGATATATGCTTACAAGGTCGACAAGTATATGTGATGCATGAAATAGCATATAAACTGACTAATCACTTTAAAAGTATGATAAAGTCCAAGCGTCGGCCGAGGTATTTGTGCATATGTCATTCTAGGTGACAGTTGCATTGTTTTATTGCTACTCTCATGATAAAATATCAACAAATATAAAATGTGAACATAAAAAATGCGTGACGTATATGTGATAATGAATTTGTAGTGAAATTTAGTAAAAAATGTCTTTTGTTGGGATGTACATTTTTCTTTTACACATATAATTGTTAATGAATTTGTGCTGTAATGATATGTGAGGTCTAATAACAATACCAAACAAAATTATTTCTAACAAAATTTGGTAAAAATTGTTTTCTTTTTTCTTTCTTTGTCTTTTATATAATGATTGTTAAGATGACACAAAATAATATCTGCAATAAATATGTAAATATGGCTGCTATAACATTAACACTTTTGCCTTCCGTGCTTCTTGCCATTTTGTTTATTCCGCTAGTACAATCATTATATCACCTCACACCATTTTTTATGGAAGAAACAGAAATAAGTGAAATATAAGTATATTTCATAATTATACTTTTTCCGTGTAAGTTACTTTGGATTATTATATATTAATCTTAAAATATTAATTGTTTGTGTGAGTTTTATTCTATTACATTCATGCATTTGAAAAATAAACTTTATCATAATAATAAACAAAAAAATAATGCAAATGTAAAGAATGTGTTCGTGTCTCGATTAAAACTATATTGCGCGATTAAGTTCTTCACTTCTTTGTTACTGTTTCTCATGAAAATTCTAATGTAATTTCTTAAATTGTAGTATCCAACCGGAATACTGGAAGGAAAATATATAATAACCGGTGTTCGGGATTTGACAACAGGATATGACAATACAAAACTTGATAATAAAGCAGTCCTACCTGTATCAAAATCTAGCCAAATGATTACATTTACATTCAAAAATGGATTAGTCACCACTTTAAGAACTAGTGGCACAGAGCCTAAAATAAAATATTACAATGAATTATGCGGATTACCTGGAGAGTAAGTTCTTTGCAAATACTTCGTAAGAGAATTAATCTTTATCCCTATTTTTTATTTAATACTAATGATACTCTAATATGTTTTAACATAGAGCATATATAGAATATTCCAAAATCATTGGATGTCTTTTTAATAGCAGATTCTCTGATTATTTTGGAATTGATCATTTTAAATTTTTCCTAAATGAAAATATTAAAAAAAAATTATTTTTTGTAAGTTTCCTATTCTCTCTTTCGGTCATATATTTTTGTAAGCTTTAAATTAAAATTCTATTGAATTGAATTCCATTTAAAATTAAGTGAAAAATATAGTTTCGTTAAATTTTTTAACTCCACAAAGTTTCATTTGCGAAAAGCTCTTCTTTTTTAATTATTTATAATTTGGAAATAAATAGTCTCAACATTTTCAATCAGGAAAGATCATCTCTAAATTGGCTAAAGAAGTTTGCTATTATAACAATATCTCTGATAGTTTTGTGACATCTTTGTATTAAGAATTGTAATATTTATGCATTTCCGAGTGGAGAGGTATCCTATTTTGCACGTACACACCGCAAAACCCTTATATTAAGCAAATATATAATTATTATGGCCGGTAAAACAGGACGGTCCGGCATCCTCTTAAGAATTGTAAATATCTAAAAAACTTTACATTATTGCGTCGCGTTTAATATAACAAAATTTTATTTTAGAGATTTAACTAAACTGAAAAGCATCCTCAAAGAGATGGTATCAGCTATTATAACAGAATTTCTTCAACCTGAAGTTAACGGACTTATTGCTCGTGAAGAATAAATTATGATAATAACTGTCATAATATATGCATGTTACATATGGATTGATTTATATGAATGCTTAAAATGCAATGTCAAAATAGATCATTAATATAAGCTATTCTATGAATATTGTGCTGTAGATGCTTCAAATATGTTCAACATATAATTTTATTTAAACTTTGTATATTACTGTTATACTATAAGTTTATAGTGCATTTGCGATGCAGTAATTTAATTAAGAAACAAAGGAATAATTTTCAAAATGGCTGTGTACTATTTTATATTGTTAAAATTGTTGAAGGAAAGTTGGTCATACACAAGTTACATTCATATGTTTTTTCTACTTTTATAATTATCATATCAATTTATAAAAACATAATGCACAGAAAAATATTCAAAATACTTTCATTATATGTAATTTTGCAATTAAAAAACAAGCAATAAATAATCAATAATTATAATTTTACAATGCAGCAGAATCTAATTATTAATAAGTAATAAACCGATTATACATCCATTGAAAAGAATTTATGCATGTAACAGTAATTTGTTCCTATACACAAGTATTGCTCCACTATTCATAGAGCATTAAAATTCTATAGAAGTTATATTAGAATACCAAAATCTTAAAAATGTTTTTCTAAAACAATTAATGCGTTGTATATCAACCATAATGTAAAGTACAACATAATATAAACAATAATAATGTAGTACAGTCCCAGATAGCCAAGTCTGTCGAAAGCAGATCATGCCAAGTATCTACTATCAAATGTTGTCAGTAAAAAAACTACAAATTTGGCACAGAAGATGTTATTATATCGATTAAATCGACAAATTGGTGTCAAAAATCAAGCAGAGATTGAAAGCCGTCAGATTGCGCGTGCGCGGATTTTGCTCGGTTTTTGCCGCCAATTTGCTATCTAGATTTTTTTCTCCTTAGGTGTTTATAAGTTGTATAGCAATCATTCGTGAAAATTTAGAGATGAATTGTAAGAACAATTAATATTTAGAAAGTAATTTTCAGTATATTGTAAATGAGAAAAGAAAATAAAATTGGAGTAATTATAAAATCTCAAATTTGAAACTTTTATTTATATTAGTTCTCTTGCCTATTATACTTGATTGTACAAGGAATGAAAATAATTCATGTGTATGATGTTTATTGCGAATATATATCCCTCTCTTATATAAGTTCTATAATAAATGTATTAGACATAATTTTTATTCTTTCAGTTGGCACACACATTTTTTTAAGTCATATAATTTTTATACAAAAGATAGATTTAAATAATATAAAATGGAACAATTACCTTCTCTATGCAATGCATTTTTGAGGGCGTGTTCACTTTGCATCCTTTTTTCTTTTTTTTCTTTTTTAATAAAAAGATAAAATTTTGATATAAAAAAAAAATTATATGCAACAGGAAAATTGATTTGATCCTGCTTTTCGTTAGTTCAGTTAGTTAGTTAGTGCTTTTGGCAGTTCACAAATTTTGTCAAGGGTGCGTTCCAAAATCTTACCCGGGCGAAGTAGCATTTAGTTGACCAATCAGGACAAAGAGATCTTTATTTCTTTTATCCTGATTGGTCAATGAAACGCTACGTTACCTTAGGGGTAGAATTTCCGAACGCACCCCATCATACTCCGGTGAAAGTATACATATGTATGTATATATATTCATGCGGTTTTGTTATCGCGGTCCCTGCGAGTTATCTGTCATTTCTAATGTTGGTCGTCGATCGCGAATTATCCGTAAATCGGCCGGAAAATATCATTATAGCCTAAACGTCACAACGGGATAAATCACATCGCGACCCATCACACCCATCCGCTGCATCATTCCGCGTAGATCCGCTTTATACAAGAAGTGTATCAACACTCCACCCACGAGTGCAGTCGCAGTTATTCGCGGAATAATGTATTCGCAATTGTCAAGACGTTTGTAAGATACCGCGTGCATCCAGGGCGATATTTCACACGTGCGTAATTCGTTTGAACATGTCTTCGCGACGGAATGATGAGCAGAAAGTAACTGGTTCGAATTCGGAGTTTATATATATATTCCAGAAGCTTCAGGTATGTATGTTGCTCTCTCTAAGGTCAAGCGACTGAGCTCTCGCTCTCTTCGAGAGATTTATATTTTAAATATATATCTATTTCTTGTATGTATCTGTAAACAATATATAATGTAAATAATTGTGATTTCCTCGAATAATGATCAAGAACTATAATAATTTTCAATTTACAGTTTTACAGATAATATATACATTCAGCTAAATATAAAAGTTCAGAGTTTATATCTGTCGGAAATGATATAAGCTGATCTATAGATTGGCAAATAATATTTTTTCGTATTTAATGCAAATTATTTTGTATTCTATATCTTCCCCCTTTTGGTGAATTTATTATGCTATCATCATGACCACAATACCACTGACTGATAAGCAGCTTCATCAACTGGTAAGTTTAGAGATTATGCTACATATATGTATATTGGGGATACAACAATTATCTTATATCCTGAATGAATTGAAAGTCGTATAGATGATATATTGAGAGTCCCCATTTTAAAAACTATACAACAAAATCTTGTTTTAGATGAAGATAGATATTGAGATTAGATATTGAAATTAGATATTGAAATTTATATGATTTATACTGAAATTTAATTTAATTTCTTAAATTGTTAAACCTTATCATAAATGTATATTTATTATTTGTAGAGTATTAGTATCGGGAAAGCTGTAAATGCAACGGAAACCCCTGTGAAAGAAAAACATGTGCGAAGTATCCTTTCTTATTTTGAAAAATCTATGGACCAATAATTCTTTTCATTAGTTAAATGAGATTTTTTATTTTATTTGTTAATATTATAAAAATAAATATATAAATAAATATGTCAAAAATAAAATTAATAGTGAAAAGAAAGTTTTATGTAAAAAATTAGATATATTATAAAAAAAATTATTTCAAGAAAAACTGAAATAGTTTTTAGAACAGTTCTTAATTTGTTTTGTCAGAGCACAATTGTAACTAATCAAGATATCATTTCTCTGCTTTAAAATATGTGTAGTCATATTTATTATTATAACGAATATAAATCTAAAAGAAAGAAGGAAGAGTTCCTTATAAATAAATAGGTGCAATTATTGGTACATATCGAGAAAAAAGCGGCTCCATTTTCTGGACATATATGTTGAGACAACCATTACAAGAGAATCAGATTGTTGCATGGAAATTTTGTCATGTTTTGCACAAAGTATTACGTGAGGGACATCCCCGGGTTATTGTCGATTCTCAGCGATATCGTGGCAAGTTAGAAGATATTGGGAAATTGTGGCAACACCTTAGAGAGGGCTATGGGCGTCTCATACAATTGTATACAAGACTATTAATCACTAAATTAGATTATCACAAACGGAATCCGCGCTTACCTGGAAATTTGCAAGTAACGCCAGAGGAATTAGAGGCGATTGGAGAAAATGATATTAATGTATAGTGAGTTACATTTTTCTTATAACTCGATTGAATACGACGATATACGACGATATATACGATATACGTCTAATTTATCTTTATAGCTTCCAGATGTCTGTTGAGATGTTCGATTACATGGATGACATCCTGAATTTACAGCATGCAGGTAATAGACTGCTATAAAATTATCACATATATTTGTATCCTCCTTGACATAAAAATCTCCCATGTGCGCAGTGTATTTATCGAACTCTTTACCAAAATTACAGTCTTCGGCTCATTGGACTTGTCGCGATCCAATTCGATGACACCTTGCGGACAATGTCGACTCGCACCTTTGATCCCGTGTATTCAGGACGCTTCGCAGCTGTACGATTGTTGCGTGAAAATCTTGTTTAAACTTCACGGCGCCCTCCCGGCGGACACGTTGACCGGACATCGCGATAGGTTTTCGAAGCAGTTTCACGAGTTGAAGAGCTTTTACAATACCATCAAACATATGCAGTATTTTAAACATTTAATAGCGATTCCGTCATTACCCGAGGTAAAACTTCTTTCAATTATTGATTGATATAATTAGCAGATATGAGAGTTTATCATATCACGCGGTATGTGGCAAATATGAAATTTTTTTGTATACTTGAATATTTTAGAACCCACCTAACTTTTTGATACAAGCCGAACTAAGAACGTATGTCACGCCGATAGTGGTACTTCCACCCGAAGAATCCATAGACAACGAGACTGCCATAGAGAACCTTATTGATACGTCTGATACGGGATCTTTCACGGGCGATCAATTAGATTCTACGAATACAAGAAACGGCTCGATATCACCTGACGCTCTTGCGGAAAGGTATAGAATTTATATGTCTATTTTCCTCTTATCTATCTCTGCCTTTTTTCTTTTTTTTATATAAATTGGAAAGCAGATAAGATAGCATATATATACATACATACATTTTTTTAAATATAAATTGGATAAAATATATCTAACAATATAAGATATAATATCTTTTTAAAGATAAACTGGATATATATAAGATAGCACATACCAATTAATAGTATAGCTATTCAATTTAATAGTATAGCAGAGCTTTCCTCCTTCCTAGATTCTGCAAATCCAAGCTTAATATTTGCAGTGAATGTTATTCTTGAATAAGATTTGTAAGATCAAGTCAAGATGAGAATGCGAAAATAAAAATATCAATTATTTGAAACTTTTGAAATGTATTTAGCAGTGGAAATGTATGAATTATTCTTTATATACTTTTCTTCAGCTTTCTTTTTTTTACAAATATTTCTTCAAAATATTTCTTTTGTGACTTGTATAATGATATATAATATGTTTATATATATGCCTCAAAAATTATAATGCATTTTGAAATAAGTAATTTAAAACTTTTTTTTTTACATATAAATATATATTCTTTTAGAGACAGTCTTATTGATCATCTGTATCAAGTAAATGGTCGCCAAAGGCAAGAAATAAATCGGTTTTTAATAGAGCATCAACAAATAATCGCAGATCTTAGAAGTCGCGTTTTAGAACTGGAATCAACACTGTCTTCTAAGGTAAGCTTACTGCACAGCTTTAATAATTGCACTCTGTTTTATCAACTTATATTATGCAAATATTTTAGAGCAATGAAATCGTAACAGAGAAACAAACTTGTCAAAAACTAATGAAGGAAAATTTGATTATATTAGAAAGATTTCAAGAAATAGAAGGTTGGTAAAATTTTAATTTGTAATTTTTTTATGATTATTATTATTTGCTTTTGCTTCTTAGAAATTATATAGCATATTTCTATTTGTATGTATCTTTTCAAGGAAAAAATGAAGTCGTAGAGGAAAAATTCAAAAAGCTAAAAGATGTTTATTCGAAATTGAGAGAAGAACATATCAATTTGATTCGAAAGGTACATATTTGATATTGATGACAATAAAAGATTATCTATTTTATTTACCACATGATTTATTATATATGAAGAAAGCTGAACTGGAAAAAGAATTGGGAGGACTGAAAATATCACGAGAGCAATCTGAACGTCGAATGTTGAAGGCTGAGGAACGACTGCAGGAATTACTTCAAGGACAAGGATCGGCAGAGCAGGAAGCACAAAAAGTGACGCAAGCACGCAAAGATTTAGAGGATGTTAGAAAGAGGCTGGACGCCGCCCAAACCGAAAATTTGGTAAGTAAGAATTTTTATTAACTTCAATCTGTATTTATTCTATCATACGCACATTGATGAGAGAGATTTTATTATACTGTTACAGGCATTAGCAGCAAAAATAGATTTTATTACGTCTGAGAAGACAGCTTTGGAAGGGGATCTTCATGACTTACTGGTGCAGAAAGAAGAGCTGGATTTGCGGATAGTAAATTTAGAAACTGATGGCGAACGATATCGCAATCAAGTAAAAACGGATGCCAATACAGCTTTATTTGATTTATTACGTGAGTATTATAATAAAGTGTATAATCGAATCCACACGATAATTTTACTAAAATCAGTTAAATGGGATTACACAAAGAAAATGATATTTATGTTATATTAGTGAATGCTATATCGGAAGCGGAATCCATTTTACATCATGCGATGCACGCTATCGATAATCCAGCCATATCGGCATTAACCTGTACGCCCGACTATCTCGAAAACTTATTGGAGCCGACAGAAAAATCGTTAAACGATTTAGAGGAGGCTTACAACAATTATATATCCGATACAACGAAGGGAAAAGCGCTGATTCGCACCGCTATACACAGCGCATACTTCCTGGCTCTCTATTTAATATATGCGAAATCCACTTCGAACACATCGACGGATATCGGTTTAGCCGATCGTAAGTTTTTCGTGATCATATAATAGCAATTTAAATATTAATAGACTTTGAGAAAGTCCAAAAAAAAACTGATACTATCTGTTTAGTCTAAAATAAATTGCGAGATTTTCTAGAATATGTGCAAAATTTTCAACGCTTTTTATAAGATTTGTTGCAATATTTTTATAGGATTTGCCGACGAGTGCAAACAATTAGGTTCGCAAGGTTTAATTATATTGAGTTATATTAAAGAAAAATCCTCGATGACTGTAGTACAAATTGCAAATGTCAAAAGTCAATTACAAAAGATTTCGTCTCTTATAAATGCATTATCGACTACTCAAAACAACGTGGAAATTATTGGAAGCTTAGTGGAAAATGAGTTGCAGAGTATGGATAAAGCTATAGAAGAAGCAGTTGCAAGAATACAGGTACTTATTATAAGCGTATTTATGCAAGAAAAGCAAAATATGTATGGAAAGAGATGAGTGATTTACTTTTACATGATTTAATAGGATATGTTGGATAAATCACGCGCGGCGGATTCGGGTCTAAAGTTAAAAGTGAATGAACAGATCTTGGATTCTTGCACAGAACTAATGAAATATATAAGAAAATTAGTGCAAAGGTCTCGCTTGCTACAAATAAATATGTCAAAAATAAAATTAATAGTGAAAAGAAAGTTTTATGTAAAAAATTAGATATATTATAAAAAAAATTATTTCAAGAAAAACTGAAATAGTTTTTAGAACAGTTCTTAATTTGTTTTGTCAGAGCACAATTGTAACTAATCAAGATATCATTTCTCTGCTTTAAAATATGTGTAGTCATATTTATTATTATAACGAATATAAATCTAAAAGAAAGAAGGAAGAGTTCCTTATAAATAAATAGGTGCAATTATTGGTACATATCGAGAAAAAAGCGGCTCCATTTTCTGGACATATATGTTGAGACAACCATTACAAGAGAATCAGATTGTTGCATGGAAATTTTGTCATGTTTTGCACAAAGTATTACGTGAGGGACATCCCCGGGTTATTGTCGATTCTCAGCGATATCGTGGCAAGTTAGAAGATATTGGGAAATTGTGGCAACACCTTAGAGAGGGCTATGGGCGTCTCATACAATTGTATACAAGACTATTAATCACTAAATTAGATTATCACAAACGGAATCCGCGCTTACCTGGAAATTTGCAAGTAACGCCAGAGGAATTAGAGGCGATTGGAGAAAATGATATTAATGTATAGTGAGTTACATTTTTCTTATAACTCGATTGAATACGACGATATACGACGATATATACGATATACGTCTAATTTATCTTTATAGCTTCCAGATGTCTGTTGAGATGTTCGATTACATGGATGACATCCTGAATTTACAGCATGCAGGTAATAGACTGCTATAAAATTATCACATATATTTGTATCCTCCTTGACATAAAAATCTCCCATGTGCGCAGTGTATTTATCGAACTCTTTACCAAAATTACAGTCTTCGGCTCATTGGACTTGTCGCGATCCAATTCGATGACACCTTGCGGACAATGTCGACTCGCACCTTTGATCCCGTGTATTCAGGACGCTTCGCAGCTGTACGATTGTTGCGTGAAAATCTTGTTTAAACTTCACGGCGCCCTCCCGGCGGACACGTTGACCGGACATCGCGATAGGTTTTCGAAGCAGTTTCACGAGTTGAAGAGCTTTTACAATACCATCAAACATATGCAGTATTTTAAACATTTAATAGCGATTCCGTCATTACCCGAGGTAAAACTTCTTTCAATTATTGATTGATATAATTAGCAGATATGAGAGTTTATCATATCACGCGGTATGTGGCAAATATGAAATTTTTTTGTATACTTGAATATTTTAGAACCCACCTAACTTTTTGATACAAGCCGAACTAAGAACGTATGTCACGCCGATAGTGGTACTTCCACCCGAAGAATCCATAGACAACGAGACTGCCATAGAGAACCTTATTGATACGTCTGATACGGGATCTTTCACGGGCGATCAATTAGATTCTACGAATACAAGAAACGGCTCGATATCACCTGACGCTCTTGCGGAAAGGTATAGAATTTATATGTCTATTTTCCTCTTATCTATCTCTGCCTTTTTTCTTTTTTTTATATAAATTGGAAAGCAGATAAGATAGCATATATATACATACATACATTTTTTTAAATATAAATTGGATAAAATATATCTAACAATATAAGATATAATATCTTTTTAAAGATAAACTGGATATATATAAGATAGCACATACCAATTAATAGTATAGCTATTCAATTTAATAGTATAGCAGAGCTTTCCTCCTTCCTAGATTCTGCAAATCCAAGCTTAATATTTGCAGTGAATGTTATTCTTGAATAAGATTTGTAAGATCAAGTCAAGATGAGAATGCGAAAATAAAAATATCAATTATTTGAAACTTTTGAAATGTATTTAGCAGTGGAAATGTATGAATTATTCTTTATATACTTTTCTTCAGCTTTCTTTTTTTTACAAATATTTCTTCAAAATATTTCTTTTGTGACTTGTATAATGATATATAATATGTTTATATATATGCCTCAAAAATTATAATGCATTTTGAAATAAGTAATTTAAAACTTTTTTTTTTACATATAAATATATATTCTTTTAGAGACAGTCTTATTGATCATCTGTATCAAGTAAATGGTCGCCAAAGGCAAGAAATAAATCGGTTTTTAATAGAGCATCAACAAATAATCGCAGATCTTAGAAGTCGCGTTTTAGAACTGGAATCAACACTGTCTTCTAAGGTAAGCTTACTGCACAGCTTTAATAATTGCACTCTGTTTTATCAACTTATATTATGCAAATATTTTAGAGCAATGAAATCGTAACAGAGAAACAAACTTGTCAAAAACTAATGAAGGAAAATTTGATTATATTAGAAAGATTTCAAGAAATAGAAGGTTGGTAAAATTTTAATTTGTAATTTTTTTATGATTATTATTATTTGCTTTTGCTTCTTAGAAATTATATAGCATATTTCTATTTGTATGTATCTTTTCAAGGAAAAAATGAAGTCGTAGAGGAAAAATTCAAAAAGCTAAAAGATGTTTATTCGAAATTGAGAGAAGAACATATCAATTTGATTCGAAAGGTACATATTTGATATTGATGACAATAAAAGATTATCTATTTTATTTACCACATGATTTATTATATATGAAGAAAGCTGAACTGGAAAAAGAATTGGGAGGACTGAAAATATCACGAGAGCAATCTGAACGTCGAATGTTGAAGGCTGAGGAACGACTGCAGGAATTACTTCAAGGACAAGGATCGGCAGAGCAGGAAGCACAAAAAGTGACGCAAGCACGCAAAGATTTAGAGGATGTTAGAAAGAGGCTGGACGCCGCCCAAACCGAAAATTTGGTAAGTAAGAATTTTTATTAACTTCAATCTGTATTTATTCTATCATACGCACATTGATGAGAGAGATTTTATTATACTGTTACAGGCATTAGCAGCAAAAATAGATTTTATTACGTCTGAGAAGACAGCTTTGGAAGGGGATCTTCATGACTTACTGGTGCAGAAAGAAGAGCTGGATTTGCGGATAGTAAATTTAGAAACTGATGGCGAACGATATCGCAATCAAGTAAAAACGGATGCCAATACAGCTTTATTTGATTTATTACGTGAGTATTATAATAAAGTGTATAATCGAATCCACACGATAATTTTACTAAAATCAGTTAAATGGGATTACACAAAGAAAATGATATTTATGTTATATTAGTGAATGCTATATCGGAAGCGGAATCCATTTTACATCATGCGATGCACGCTATCGATAATCCAGCCATATCGGCATTAACCTGTACGCCCGACTATCTCGAAAACTTATTGGAGCCGACAGAAAAATCGTTAAACGATTTAGAGGAGGCTTACAACAATTATATATCCGATACAACGAAGGGAAAAGCGCTGATTCGCACCGCTATACACAGCGCATACTTCCTGGCTCTCTATTTAATATATGCGAAATCCACTTCGAACACATCGACGGATATCGGTTTAGCCGATCGTAAGTTTTTCGTGATCATATAATAGCAATTTAAATATTAATAGACTTTGAGAAAGTCCAAAAAAAAACTGATACTATCTGTTTAGTCTAAAATAAATTGCGAGATTTTCTAGAATATGTGCAAAATTTTCAACGCTTTTTATAAGATTTGTTGCAATATTTTTATAGGATTTGCCGACGAGTGCAAACAATTAGGTTCGCAAGGTTTAATTATATTGAGTTATATTAAAGAAAAATCCTCGATGACTGTAGTACAAATTGCAAATGTCAAAAGTCAATTACAAAAGATTTCGTCTCTTATAAATGCATTATCGACTACTCAAAACAACGTGGAAATTATTGGAAGCTTAGTGGAAAATGAGTTGCAGAGTATGGATAAAGCTATAGAAGAAGCAGTTGCAAGAATACAGGTACTTATTATAAGCGTATTTATGCAAGAAAAGCAAAATATGTATGGAAAGAGATGAGTGATTTACTTTTACATGATTTAATAGGATATGTTGGATAAATCACGCGCGGCGGATTCGGGTCTAAAGTTAAAAGTGAATGAACAGATCTTGGATTCTTGCACAGAACTAATGAAATATATAAGAAAATTAGTGCAAAGGTCTCGCTTGCTACAGAAAGAGATTGTGAAACAAGGAAAGGTATGGCAAATTTATTTCAGTATTTATTTATGTTGAGATATTATTAGGTAATATTACACTCTATTGCCATCGAAAAAATTACGATGGGGAATGTTAACAATACAATACAATAATTGTTCAGGGAACCGCTTCGGTCACCGAATTTTACAAACGCAATCATCAGTGGTCTGAGGGGCTTATCTCGGCAGCGAAGGCGATTGCCATGGGTGCAAACTTTTTGCTGTAAGCATAGTTAACAACTTCTTTTTTTTTTTTTTAATTATCACATGTAAATATATATATTACATATGGAAATGTATGTATTTTTTTATGTATTGTTACAGAGAAGCAGCAGACAAAGTGGTATTGGGCAATGGTAAATTTGAACAATTGGTTGTTGCTTCACAAGGAATCGCGGCATCTACTGCGCAATTGGTAGTTGCTAGCAGAGTCAAAGCTGACAGAAACAGTACCAATTTAACTGAACTCTCCAAGGCTTCGAGAGAAGTGACACAGGCTACAGCAAATGTTGTTGCGACTGTTAAGAGCTGCAATCATCTCGTTGAGGAAAATGGTAGTTGATTTGAAAATATATTTAACTATATTATGTGTTTTATATCATATAACATGGTTTGTTAATATTATTTAATTCGAAATTGTGCAGAAGATTTGGATATGTCTAGTCTCAGCTTACATCAGGCTAAGAGACTGGAAATGGAGGCGCAAGTTCGAATCTTGGAATTGGAACAAGGTCTGGAAACTGAGAGATTACGTTTAGCTGCTCTTCGACGTTATCATTATCAGCTCGATGGTGACAACGAGGCATAGGCAAGTAATGGATTGAGTTTAAATGAAGAATATTCAACGATCACGAGAAGTATATGTAGATAAAGAATTGTAGCAGTCATGTAAATTAGTTTACTAAACTAACTAATGTCGTGCAGAAAATTGTTTCTTCGTTGTTAGAAACAAAATTTATTCGTTTAGTCTCAGCATTTATGTATCATGCATATTATGCGTGTCTCGAAGATCAATAATAATTTTCTAACCAGTAATGGAAATCGATTGTGAATGTACTTTATTGAATGACGCTCAAATATATTTACATTTACCAGCTACATATCAAAATAATTTATATTATGTCATTTTTAATGTAAAATTTGATATAAATTTATTTCACGTCATCTCTTATTGAATTATATCATCGAGCATTTATGAGATAAAGTACATTTTGTAAAGAAAATAATGTAACGAGCAATGAAATTCAAAATGTCCAAGTTTTTATTACATTTGGAATAATTTTATAAAAAAATCATGTTTTTTCCTAAGAAAATAATGATATACACTAAAAGAGGATTGTCAAGTAGTCAATATATTTAAAACTTTAAACTTATAAAGATATTAATTCTTTAATGCATAAAGTACTCTTTTGTTCTCTCTTAAGTAGATAATTTGTATGTCGTATATCAATTAATTTAAGCTTTAAAGAGTACAATTTTTTTATTTTCATCGCCGAGAGATTTCAAAATGCCGATGTATAAGATGTAAATACTCGGCGCGTATATAAAACTTAACACAAAATTTCTCTAACAGTCTTACCAAAGTTATTTTGTGAACACAGTTTTCTCAATAAATTATCGAGAATTATCTGTGTTGCTAATTTTCGTATAAGTTAGTATACATGCGACTACATTAATATATATATATATAAATATATATATATTTTTTTTAATCTGTTATCTTATGTAATGATCATGCGAATCACACGAGCAACATTTTGTCGCGAGAATTTTAAATAAATCGAAACGCAAAGTCATCCCTCTTTCTCTCTGTACAATCTCAAAATACCGTGGCACACTGATGGCTACTGATTCTATTTTACCATCAGTGCGTTATAACCATTTATAATTCCCTACTATACCGTAGGTATTTTATATTAAATTATAGCATTCGATATTAACAGATATGGCTAATACTACAAGATCTGTAGGAATCTCATATATACAAATTCCGCTCCAATTAATAAAAACGCAGAGCATTTGCCTTTCGAGCAGAAAAAAAAGAGAGAAAGAGGGAGATCCGTTTACCGACATGTATGGTTTTCTATACCGAAGGAGCAATTGGCAAGCATGGCGTCGATCGAGACGTGTATCGTCCATCTGGAACGCAGCGGACGTAAAAGCGCAGTAACGCGCTTGTAGCTCGCGCGTTTTCGAAGGGATCTACACACATATGTTTGCGCATTAAATGAGAATCTCCTTACGTGAAAGCGCGAGGACAGGTGAGCAGGGGACAGGTGGTAAAAAAAGAAAAATAAAAAATCGTGGATGTCTCGTCGCCCGGGATTGCGAGGCGGGCGATTACTCGATGAGATTCGCGAATACATGGCGACAGAGATCTCAGCAGCGGAATGCGGCTGTAGAGCTATTCGGGGAAAAGCACGGCGTTCGGACTTGGACGCATCGCACGCATCCGGGGACGACGCGTTGATCGATGACAGTGGCGGTGAGCGTGTCTCGCCGGCGCGTGTTCGAGACACGGTACACGGTGTGTAGTGTGTGGTGCGTGTGCCGCATTTCGAAGCTGCACAGTGGCGACTTATCATGGCGGCGAGATTTTTTTAGCTGCCACAGAGAGAGAGTTGCGGTGTATCTCTCGGTATTACCCTCCCCCCTTGCGTATATACGTGTGACGTCCCGCGTCGAGGAATTCGCGCGAGACGTTGACGCACGTCGGGACGTGCCGCGTCGCGGGACGTGTCTTGACCCGTAAATTTGCCCGCACGCTCCTCGTCCTCGGGAGAGAATCTCCGGATTCTCGGCTCGCGATATCTCCGATAATAACGGCGCAACGACGGTTCGACGAATAAGCTTCGTGTTTAGTTCAAGAACCCTTTTTATGTACATATATGCACACACGTACGCGAATGTATATGTATGCGCATACGTATATTTGTTTACAAAATTGTGATAGTCTTGCTGCAAAATAGCCTCTTTCGCGTTGAGTTTTACACATCGAGCGTTCGGGCGGATAATATGTAATGAATCTTTTACAGATATATTGCTATAAGGATTCCTATTCATTTGTATCTTGTGTAACTTTTTAAGATACGCCAGGATGAACAAACGTCGTAGAACATCGTCGGTAGCCAGTCGCGGTACCGAGGACGACGGCGACGATATTCCACCTGAACCAACGAAAAGAAGGAAAAAATTAGATCCTGTGAGTGTGTGTATGTGTGTTTTTAACATTTGCAGTATCTCTTATATTTATGTTTATTATTTCTGTCTGATATAGAGTGACTTGTGCCAACAATTGTACGATGTACTTCGTAATCAGAAAAAAGAGGATGGAACCTTGCTGTGTGACGCATTTATACGTGTGCCTAAACGCAGGCAAGAACCGGGATATTACGAAGTTGTTTCTAATCCTATTGATCTTTTAAAAGTTCAACAGAAGCTGAAAACTGACGAGTATCGTGATATGGATGACCTCGCTGCTGATATTCAGCTTATGGTGAATAATGCAAAAGCCTTTTACATGGTAAGATTGCGTATATATTACTCCATTATTTAGTCTATGCAGATATTGATATAGTATGCGTATAAGATGTTTGTTATCACATTTATTTCCCGGCAATTGAAATATTTGTTGTATAATTTTTGTAGCGTACATCTCCCGAATACAAAGATGCGACTGAATTGTGGGAATTATGTATAAATACAAAAAATCGTATCACAGAGGAGTATGAAGATCCAGAACCTAAGGGAAAACTTATCTTAAAAGTCGGGAGATTGGTAATTTTAGTGATTCACTAAAATTTTGTATCTTGTCATATATATATGTATTAACACACATGTTAATATATTAATGCATATTTAAGGCTCGTAAAGCAGCAACAAGACAAGATGACGCGGAGGATACTTCCGAAAGTTCTGCAAATCTCGATGAAGAAACTATGCAGCTTTTTGAGGATTTATTTGCAGCCGTTATGACGGCGACCGATCCTACTGACAATAATAGACCTCTTCATATTATGTTTCAGCTCAAACCATCCAAAAAGGTTTGCAGTTCGTCTTTGAAATTGAATTTAGATTTGCTTATATTTATTAATGAAATGTCTAATGTTGCAGCTTTATCCTGAATATTACGATGTCATTGAGACACCCATTGATTTGAAAACTATTGCGAGAAAGATTCAGGAAGGTGCATATAGTTCAATCGGCGATATGGAGAAAGATTTAATGCTCATGTGCCGTAATGCTTGTCAGTTTAACGAGCCTGGTTCGCAAATCTATAAAGATGCCAAACTCTTGAAGAAGATAATTACTGCGGCCGCGAGAAGACAAGACGGCGGATTAGGTAGTAACACCCCCAAGATTGCTACAACTGCACCATCGACGAGAAGCAAAAGAGGCAGTCGTACTATGGCGCAATCGTTAATAGCGCAAACTGCGGCATTAGTCGATGAAGATGATGAAAGTGACGACGAGGAGGAAGAACCCGCTGAGACTGAAGAAGCTGATAATCCACAATGGCAACTATTTCAAACCATTCGGACAGCTCCTAATAATCAAGGCATAATAATAATGTGATCTTGTTAAAACAGAAAACTGTATTATTTGTAATACAGTATTACAAGTATTACAGAATTTATTACACGCATATTATGTTTAGAATACGACTATACAGTGCATATTGTGCTTGTAGGTGTAAGAATGAGTGAATATTTTTGGAAGCTTCCATCAAAGAGATTATATCCTGATTACTATAAGATGATTAAGAATCCTTTATCTTTATTACAAATACGTACAAAAATAAAGGTATGTATTTTGAAATAATGATGGTATAGTTTTTACATCAAAAGGATAATGTTTTAGTAAAGTATCATTTTTGCTATGTATGATTTTATATTTAAATAATGTTTTTCAGAAAGGCGAATATGGTACTGTTAGTGAAGTAGCTGGAGATATGAATATCATGTTTGAAAATGCTAAGAAATATAATATACATACTTCTCGACTATATAAGGTAATACAATTATGTAGTTAACATTTTGCTTCAATTTAATTGTAATTACTTTTCATTATAAATACATTAATTAAAATATTAATTTTGTTATATAAAATATACATACATGAGTAAATTTGTAAATTCCAAATAATTTTGTATTAAATTGAAAAATATTACAATGTGTATAATAATTGTGACACATAGTTATGTATATATTTTTTTTATTTGATTTCAGTGCGCTGTTAAATTGCAAAAAATAATGCAGGAAAAAGTACAAGAGCTTCTAGAATTTGATCAGGTAATATATTGTGATATCAAATTAAGCACAATTATTTTATATATAGTATTTCTGTGGAAAATATAATATATTTAATTTTCCATAGGATTCCGATTCGGATAGCGAATCCGAAAATAGCTCCTATCAACCTAAATTAATTAAACGCGCTTCAAATTTATTGACGCGAGGAAAATATAAAGACAATATACCATTGAAGAAAAGATTGTACACATTAGTCAAGTGTGTTATAGAATACGTTGTAAGTAATTCCAAAATATATTGCAATCGACGTGATCAGTCGACATATAGCATGCTATAATGTTTTACAGTGCGAGGACGGTCGGCAGCCTATGTTAATGTTTATGGAAAAGCCTTCCAAAAAATTATATCCGGATTATTACCAAGTGATAGCTGAACCCATAGATATGCTAGCAATTGAAGCTAATATTAAAGCAGAGAAATATCAAAGCGAAAGCGAATTAATACAAGATTTTAAGGTACTGTCATCATAACTTTATCAATTTCAAAAGTCTGATGATAGATTTTATTTAACGGATATCTTACTGTTTGTTGTTTTAGTTGATGTTTAATAATTGCCGCCAATATAATGAGGAAGGTTCATTGATATATGAAGATGCTAATACATTGGAGAAAGTTTTGATGGATAAGGTGAAGGAATTAGGACCCTTGCCGGATACATCCAAATCCAAATCTACTGCATCAACTCCAACCAGAAACGTTGGGTATGTCAGTTTATATAAAGAAATGAGGAAGATATTTATTCATTTTCTCTTTTCTTTACTTTTTGCTTCTTTTTCTATCAATATTCAGGAGACCGAAAAAAATAGTACCGCTTCATTTGCAAAAATTACGAACTCTATACGATACAATTAAAGACTACCATGATGCAAAAGGAAGACAATTATCTCTAATTTTCATGAAATTACCAAATAAAAATGAATATCCAGATTATTATGAAGTGATAAAACAGCCTATACATATGGAGAAGATAGCTTCCATTTTAAAGAATAACGGATATGAAAATTTGGACGAGCTAGTATCTGATTTTATATTAATGTTCGACAACGCGTGCAAGTATAACGAACCGGACTCGCAAATATACAAGGTTTGTATAGTTAAAAGTTTTTATTTTATAAACATTTTATGCACAAACATTTTATGTATCCTAACCTAATCTAACCATTTGTTGTGATTATTACTTTTTAATAACAGATTCTTTGATCAATTTACAATTGATTTTTTGGAGATCTTCATTTATCACATAATTTTTCAATCTTTAACATCAAAAATATTGGTAACTTAGCTTAAAAAATTCTGTTAAATTCTGTTAAATTGATATTAAGTTGATAAAAAAATCTGTTAAAAAATTCTGCACGGAAACAGTGCGAAACATTCTATATATAAAAGTATACCTTTTATATATATACAATTGAAAGAGATATATATTTTATATATATATATATATATATATATATATATATATATATATATATATTCGTTAAAA